TAGAAAAAAGCTAAAATTTTGAAGAGAAGACAATTGTAAGGAAATGTCATGTTAATACAGCAATTCAAAAGTCTGACAGATATTTGCATTTTTGTGGGCAATAGGTGTTGATGGGGGGGAAGGTAAAAGGAACCTCCAAAAGGTGACTGATCACAAAGCAGAGGGGTAGAGAGTTCTTCAACTGGTACATTTATTAATAACAATTAAAGCAGATTTTGCTCTGTTTTGTTTCTGGGTTTCTGTTTGTATGCTTGTTTTCAGGTAGCTTTAATATAAGATGAGGTCCTTTTTCACTGGATTATTATTTTTTTTTGTTCTTTTTGTAAAAGCTTCAGGTTCTAAGTGCTATTATCTGTGAGTACCCCGTTCCTTTTTTTTGGAACAAGAAGGCAAATTTGTTGTTTTCTAATATTTAAAATATTTTCTAAAAGTTGATGAGAGCTTTCTGAATCCAAAATTCAGCTACAGTCGACAAATTGTTCTTTGTGTACACAGGATAATAGGTAGTGCTAGATAATGATGACCTAAATTATGTTAAAGCATAGCAAAAGCTCATCTTCAGTCCTACCATTTGATAATGTTGTGTTTTGTTGATGACATCAAATTTTGACAAAGCAAGCCATCAAGCTTCTACAAAATGATCTTTTTAGTATTCTGGATAGCATTACTGTTTTCTTGCTTTCTGCTTTGTTAAAATATGCATTTATTTATGCATAGACATTCATACATAAGTCAATCAAACATTTATGCTGATCCATCTAAATATATAACTCAAGCTCCCTTCAGAAACACTTAATATATCAAAGGAAAAATGAGCTCAATGCAATAAATAACATAAAATACCTATTACAAATGCAAAGGCAAAGTGACTTACATGGATATATTTTCATAGAATAAGTGAAAATAAAGGATTTCATACAAAACAAACAACATGTTACCACCCAGGCAGAAGAAATTTTATGTAAAGCTTCTAAGAAAAAGCTATGTAAAACTGAACAACTTCTAACCACACTTCACTGGGAGCTACCTGAAGTAATCCATCCATAGATGGAATAGAAGAAGTATTGGTATCACAAGAAGCACTGCAGAGAAGCACTACATCTTTCACAGAAAACTTTGCATAGACTGGAGACCGGAGATCAGTTTTTTATATTCAGGCTTCTATTGTGAGACATCTCCATAGACAGATCTAGACAGAAAAGGCTGTCTCCCCTGCGTCACATACAAGCCAGGTCCAGAACAGAAACATGAAAACCTTTGCTACAAACTATCATAGAAGGCCAAAGAAAAGAGACCATTGGATAAAAATTGGGTATTTCAACACCAGAGGCCCTTTAAAACCCTCCAAGGCATTCTCCTCCTCAGTAAAGCCTTCCTATCTGGTACGGGATATCTCTAATCAAGTGAGCTGGAGGCAGAAAAATGTTGATGAAACCAATTAGGTATCTAGTTGTGCTGGTTTGTTTTCCCTGGAAATACTTAATGCTGCGGTAATGGATTCTACAGAGGCGAGGTAAAGAGATAATCAACTGATCTCTTTCAAAATTTTAACCGAGTATGAGCAAATATGAGAAATATTTTGAAAATACATAAACAGCTCCCTAACATACTAAGACACACTGAAATGGTATTTTTGATCTGGCACAGTTCTAACACAGTTAAAAGATAGCAATTTAAAAAGTGTGACCTTGAAAACAGTTCTCAAAAATAACAGCTATGTGACCTTAAAATGCATTAATTCATTAGATAAAAGTTTGTTCTCCCCAACGGCAAACATTTTCAATTTCACCACCAAAATGTCATGAAACAAACAGCAGATGCTTCGCTGAGCTTTTCTCTTAATCTTTACAAAATCCTCTACTCTAGGTAAATAGCAAGAAACTGAAATAACTTGCAACCACCGTGGTAGCTTTAAAACAATGGTATTATGGCCCAGTCATCTGGTATCTGATCTAAACCTAACTCGTTTGTCACTAGCCACATGTGGCCTGCCACCCCATTAGACAGCCCTAGAAATTATTCGTAACAACTTAGACTGATGCATGACTTTCGCAAGGATGTAAACTGTTGCTCTGTACTTGATTTCACTGCAGCCATATTCCCTCCTCTGTGCAATAAGCACTTCCTGGCTTCATACAAATTTTCCCGCTCAAACATTTAATTTCTACTTTGTTTTTTTTATTTTTATTTTTTCTCTTCATTGTCTTATCTAATTGAAACTCTTGACTATTCCCCCTCATTTGAAGAACTCAAATTAAGATTCCTCTGTGCGCTATATTGTTACTTAGGTTGCCTGCAGAACTAAGGATTGGAAACATCCTGTTTTACACTATAGCCAATTTATTGAAAATAGTTGATCCAAGTCCATGTGTTATCCCACATCATCTGGATTTAATCCAGGACCTTCCAAATAGTTAAAGCGTAAAGTGAGGGCCTTTGGCTCAGTCGGGCATAGCTGTGCCTTTTGTTTCACACCTCGTGCTAATTTTGCTGACCAGTCACAGCTATAGTATTGCTATTCTCTTCTGCACGGCACCTGGAAGGATGCTATTCCATTTCATTTGAGAGATCTACAGATGCTTTGTTTATTTGATGGCTACAGGGTACGTGTCATGGGTCTCTGGTGTCTCCAGATGAAATTTGTGTTCATACAGTTAATTTGTTCACTTGTTCTTCAAGTTGTAATGAACGGCTCTCAGAGATTACTCATGTTAATACACTATGATCATTTTGTGTAAAGTATGTATTCCACTGCTTGTTTTACTTATTAAGAATTATTACTATTTCCCTTATTACAGGGAAAAGACACATAAGTATTGCTTCAGGAGGGACTTTGGTAAACCAGTCACAGCGTATGTAGCAACATGGGTCTGTTGAGACTGCATCTCTGTTTGAACCCAGGTATGTGCTATCGATAGCTACTGCTGATGGATTACCATGCTTTAGGTCTTTCCTTCACGACTTCCTTTTTACCCAGTGTCACTGCTGATCGCTTCCTGTACTACCTTTATTGAAACCTCACCAATAAAGTGTTTGTTCTAATGAAAAATTTTATAACTGAGAACCACTATGGCAATGTGACCTCAGTCACACATCTTTTCTCTCCTTAGCCTGTTCTGCTGGAATGATCTCTGCTGTCCTGTTTCTGCTAGAGGCAGCTGTTCCTTTGGGCAGTAGCACCAACCATTATTCACAACAGTCTTTATTCATTCATGCTGCTTCTACATTTCTGGCTTGCTGCTGAGGTGGGAGGCTAATGTGGCAAGGCACCTCTGTCACTTTAGTAAGCTCCTTTTACCACATGAACAGCTTCAAGAGGACATCCTTCTTATCGGCAATTCTCATGGAAGTGACCTTCATTATACTGTCGTTGCAGGGTTACATCCATATGAAAACACTTGGTATCATTCTGAGCGCACAGAAGATTTTGTCTTTTAATCAAAGTTATTATTTCCTAATTCTGCAGACCATATGGCACCATAAAGCCGACAGCAGAGCAGATATTTTTAAAGCATGACATTAACTTTACTAGGGACATTAACAAAGTTGAGTAATGTTATCCTCACTGAAGTATAAATTATGCTAACGTTTTCAAATTTGGATGATTAAGGTTGTACCTAAAACGAGTACCTATTTTTTTGCAGTTCTGAGACATAATAGGAATCCACCTGTGCCTGTATCTGAAAGTATTCACATGTATTTCCAGAATAACAATCTAGGCAAAACTGATAAAGATAGCATTATTCTGATTTATTATTTTTCTGAAGTTTATGATTGGTAAATCTGTTCCTGTTCTTAAGACACATATCAGGAAAGTAAAAAAAAAAATAATTTCTTAGTAATCGCAGCATGTAATTTTAGTTGTATTTTAGATTACTAATCAGAGGTACAGCATAGACAAATCTTATGAACCGCAATTTAATTTAAAATGTCTTTAAATTCTTCTCAGTTTTACAAATGCATCACCTTTCTGCTACAACCTACATAGCTTGCTGCGTTCCATAGTGCTGACTGGTAAATAACCTACGTGTTACCATCCATCCTGTCACCATGCTCTCGTTATTAATAAATTAATGTGGTTAATTAATTATTAAAACATGCCAAGCGTGTTCCAATAACTTTTTGCTTCCTGCCTCCACTTGCTTAATGCAATACGCTCTAACCAGAAACATTTTTTACATTCCCACCATCTTGATGAATGATATAAGCAATGAGGAATATTCTCTAGACATGAACAAGCCAGGTGTGCAAAGAGGCTTCAGGATCATGCCTGCGGGCATTAATGAGGTTATTCGAACATCATAACAAGGATTAGCTGAATTTCTTATTCAGAGAGTTGAAGCTTTTGTAAGACTTTCTCTTGTCTTCAACTACCACCACAGGTCAGTTTAAAATCACTGCTGTTCTAAAGTCACAGTTCTGTTCTCATAGTGAGACTGGTCATGATGATCATGGATGATTTATCTTCACAAAAAAAAGCAAAACTTTTGGTAGAAAATTATATATGAAACACAACATTTTTGGTTTTATTAATTCAGTGCAGCACAACTGACATTGACAGTCATTTTCATACTGAAATGAAAACAACTCTTCATTGAATACATCACATCCACTTTTGGATGTTAAGCTTTTGCCCACAGTTTTCATTGATCTTGCACTTGAAAACTTCTCTTCACCTTCAGCTTTCCTCCTCTCACCGCAGTAGCCATAAAGATATATTCTGAAAATTACTTGAGTGCATATTTACGTAAAGATGTGATTCTTTCAACAATTGTACAATTTGCTTATTGGGATTAGACTGAAACCATGTTTACATATTTTCAATAAAAATAAATACATAAATAGATGCCCTAAAAGCTGTAACAGGACTATACTAGCATCATGCAGAAATATATAATAAAACTCACCTTAAGGCTTTTACTTTTTTTTTTTTTTTTTACTTAAGTCTGTCTGGAGTCAATACATTATTAAACCACAACATTTTTAATGACTGTGCTTACCAGTTGCTGTCCTTGGACGCCCCAGGCTGCATACTGTAAAACTGAATCCTCTACTTCTGGAGGGTTTAACTCCCAAACTTCCCTTGAAAAAACGTAAACATTTTTACTTGAATGCACTGGCATCACCTTATGTATAGAACCACTGACATCATATTGAAAAACCTATGTGACCTACCTTGTATGTATGTTGTAAATCACATATGAAGCAGTATAAGAATAATGAAAAACCTGCAACAAAAAACCAAGAAAGCATAAGAATTACAAAACCAAATACTGGATTAAATACAGACTACCATTATTAGGGTCAGTCTTTTGATCCCTGTAAACACCAATATCTTTATTACTGAAAGAAAGATTTTATTGTATTAATTATAACCAATAGACTTGAACCAGGGTTTGAATGCACTATGAAGGTCACACATACTCATCTATTCATTGAACCAGACACTTAACCTGTACAACTGCACAGAAAAGGTCCCAACCAGAAAAATCTGTGTTCTTGTTCAACAAAAGGATTTAAAAAAACCAAAACTAAACCAAACATAAACCTCCTACAACATACATTAAGAAAGCAAATCACTTCTTCATCAAGTTATGCTCAAAATGATTGTATGTGATGTGAGGATTAGGGGACTGGAGCATCTCCCCTATGAGGAAAGGCTGAGAGAGCTGGGCCTGTCTAGCCTGAAGAAGAGAAGACTGAGAGGGGATCCCATCAACACGTACAAGGGTGGATGTCACACGGACCGAGCCAGACTCTTCTCAGTGGTGCCCAATAACGGGAAAAGGGGCAATGGGCACAAACTGAGACATAACAGGTTTCAGTTAAATATGAGGAAAAACTTCTTTACTCTGAGGGTGACAGAGCGCTGGAACAGGCTGCCCAGGGAGGTTGTGGAGTCTCCTTCTCTGGAGATACTCAAAGCCTGCCTGGATGATGTCCTGTGTAACACACTCTAGGTGAACCTGCTTTAGCAGGAGGGTTGGACTGGATGATCTCCTGAGGTCCCTTCCAACCCTTGCCATTCTGTGATTCTGTGTGATTCTATGTACATTGCAGTTATTTTACTTGAAATGCAGACCAATATGGTATTTTTCTGACCACATGCTATGTACAGCCTGAACGACCTTCTGGCATATTGCTCACAGTGTAGAATAGAAAAACAACGCTCGCTGGGGTTCTGTTTGGTGTGGCTTTCCTTAAATGCCTTCCAGTCTGATTTTGACTGACTGACTTTGAAACTCAGGGAAAGTTTGTTTTATCTGGGATTTTTCATATGCAACATTTTGGGTAAAACAAAGAGCTATTTGTCAGTAAACCTTCCTAATTCATTGGGAAGTTACCAGTGATGACTGGTCTCAGAAACCCCAGGATTCTCTCGATGGGAAAGAAAAGCAAATCTAATGGATAGTCTTATGCTGCTGTCTTTTATTGTCCAAAATTTTGTTGAAGTCAACTGAAATCAATGGGATTGTAATTTAAGTGCAAAATAGCAGTATGCAGACCCAGAAGATCCATAGTGGGGAACAGCATGGTACACTGTAAAATGTGATGTGTCACTACACTGAAGGGCTAAAATCAAAGGAAACTATTAGACATTTTCTCTAAAGACAAGTATTAGTTTATATACATATAGTGAATAACAGACATTTAGCTGTCTTCCAGGCTAGGCTGATTGGTTTTAACCTAGCTCATTTCTGTACCACTATTTCTCGCATTATGAAAATAGCATAATTCCATAGTATTAATTAGTTTCACTACGAGTTGAAATTACTTCATGGACTTGGAATATAAAATATATTTGTGACTAATTATGACTGTACTAAGAGAAACTCTTCTTTTTAATGCAAACTACTGCCAGAAATAAACATAGGGTGACATCCAGTAGACTTACTGTAGCTTCACGTCTACAGAGTTATGGAATCTCTGCTCAGCACATGAAGGACTTATTTCTGGACAGTGTCAGGCTTGTTCCAGTGAGATGGAAACAGATACAGCTGTCAAGCCAAAACCTTGATATAGACGTATGTATCGGGAACTCTTTATATTATCTGCACCAGAAATCTTTCAGTATCTCCTCCAGAGAGAAGAGACAAAGGAGGATCACACACAAACAGAGCCATCGGAATTTGCTGCTGTCACACACAAGAGAGGTTTCAGAGGTTGTTATTTTGTCTGGAGGTCGTTCAAAACAGAACCATCTGAAACATCCTTCCACTGACTCCATTTCCATTATTAGTTCCCTGTCAACACACACATTTAGCATGTCCTAAATCCTTGCTGGCTGATGCTGCAAGAAGCCCACAAAGGTCTGTAAGGTTAGTAACTGCACTTTGTGCAACAGCTGAATTCCCCTTCTATAGAATTTCCCTTTTAGACAAGAATCGCTTCCATTTTCCAGGTCTATGATGACTAACATCGAAAGTGTTGCTTCAGTGAGATGAATCACACATATATTAACCAGTATGCCCCAGACTGTTTTGGTTTTGTTTTTTTTTTTTTTTGTTTGTTTGTTTGTTTGTTTGTTTTTTGGATTTTTTTTATATTACAGCTTATGATAAAGTGTTTGGCCATGCAACGTAGCAGCCTCTTCTGAGAAGTGCTAAGTGTGACAGAAACAGAGACAAATTATAACAACATTATGATTGCTGTAGGAGGCATAAAGACCAAGAAGAATATTCTAAGCAACTTAATTGTTTTCTCTAAACAGTTAACACAAACGTATCTACTACCATGTCTCTATACTATACATACATATACATCTAATTATATACATAGTAGAAGTAGACTACTCGCTTGGACACCGTAGTGTTTAAAGTTCAGTGAGGTTTCTGGGAAAAATCGAGTTGGTAATAACACGATTGAGGGCCTGTCAAGATAGAGTTACTCAAATACTGCTGGTAAGACAATGAGACAAACGGCTGGCTTCAAAGCTTCTGCTTTCTTTCATAAATCTTATATTGCTAGAGGTAAAAGATAGCAGATCAAAGGGACATAAATGGTTAAATCATGGTGGTTTCTGCACAGGGCATGCATTGCCAGAGGCTACCCAGAGGGGCACTTGCCAGCAGCTGTTAAAGGGGACAGTCTCACACAGCCAATTACTGGGAAGAGGAATGGGTCTCTTGCCCTTCCAGGAAAAGGGAAAAGTATATCACGGATAATGTGTGGAGGGCTGATAAGTATTTAGAATAGGAATATTTAAAAACTAAATTCTTAGACAGAACATATTTCAACAAGAAATGCTAAACTAGTAAGTCATTTTGACAGCTTTAACAGAAAATATGCTATAACAACAAGAACACCATATTTCATGTGGAAACTCTCCTCTTGCCTTGTGGTAAAATTTCTATCTAAATCTTCATGTAGAAGTACTAATATCTTTGTGTTAAGAGTATTAATACCTTTGAAAGAGCTCCATGACCAGAGGAGAGCACCATTACAGTGAAGTCACTTCCCGACCGGATGCTGACTTTTTTCTCAGATTACTCATGTTAGTTTTATTTCTTAATAGGAACACCATGAATAAATTACAGGTAGGAAGTTTCCTAATTCATCCTGCTTGCAATAGCCACATACTGAAACACCATCATTATTGAAATTAAAACAAACAAAAAAAAAGAGGACACGGAAAATAACTTTCTTTTCAAATCTAGCTTACATATTAAGTGTCATATTCCTAGGAAGCTCTCGCACTTTTGTATAAAACCTTACCTGTGGAGATCCTAAAAAGGACCTCCACTATTTGGGTAAAGCTTTAGCTTGCTCAGAGCCATGTCAGTGGCTGGGACCACACATCTCCTGATCCCTAATCCTACATCTGGCATCACACAAGAGGAGCCCAGCTGAGGGTACCAAGCATGATGCCAGCCGTAGAGAGTCTTAGGGACTCTCAAAATACTAGGATCAAACCTTCCACGCTGCCACCAGCCACATCCCCTCTGGAAGAGGCATACATAGACTTGGGGGATTCTGCCCTATAACTCTTATTTTGTGGGATGTGCACTAATCAGAGAAATATCTGGTAATTTATGATGGAGTCTGCAAAGATACAGACTGAGAGCTCACACCAGTAAAGCTCGGGTTGCATTGTCCCCTCTCACGGTGTATTTACACCGAAGGCTGGTCGTCGTCTTCACCATACAAATCTGAAGTATTACTATTTCTGTTCCAAAATGTGTTCAAACATTTCTTGTACTCCATTGCCTTCTAAATGGGGTGGTATCAAAAGACTAAACTAAGGCTAATATTTAATCATGGACAGTAAATTACTCCACCTGACAGAAAATTTACACACTTAAGTAGTGTGAAACTGAGGACAAGTGAGAAAGGTTTTAGTGAAAAAAAAAAAAAAAAAAAGATTCCTAGGTACAAAGAGGAGAATTAATTAATGAATATAGACACAGAGAAGGCCTCTGAGAAGTGAAGCAATGTAGGAGAGCAAAGCCTTTTAAAATATTAAATGCATTACAGTAATTTCTGCACTGTTGTATCAGAGGAGGAAAATGAAGAAAGGAAAATGGCCTTCTATAATTTAATAATATAACTATACGTGTTAAGGTGGGACACTGCGAGGAGCCTTACCTCCATGAGTGGCTCAGGCCTTTCTGACAAGTAAATAACTTGCCTGTTTCTGTTGTGATAAGCTGAAAAATGTTCCCCACAAGAACTGTGAACATGGCTTTTTAGATCAGAAAGACAGCAAACTTCCCCCTCAATATAAATTATTTAATTTTTCTTTTGCCACGGAACGCAGTAGGTAACTACTGTTGCATATCATGTATTTCTTCTGAATTCAGTCTTTCATCAATTTATAAACTGAAAATAGGCTTTTACGCGATGCTGCTCAGCATTGAAAAAGTTAGCTGCATTTGTGTATAAAAAAAATAAAATTACAGAACTATATTGCAAAGGACCTAAAAGAAAAACATGAAAAAAAGTATTTCAAGACAAATTCCTCCAGTCAAAACTTATTGAAATAGCAATCCATTATTCAGCTAACAACCAACAATAAAAACCCTCATACTTATCAATCACAATCTGAACTTTTAGATGACATATTGTTCCGGGTTTTATATGTCCTTTATTTTCTACCTTTCAAGGAATGTCTTTGTCTTTCTAAGGTTTCTAAAAATGAAATACTATCATGGAACTCAATGCATAGCCCAGCAAGATGCAGGAAAACAACGTGCAATACACACTTAGCCACATACCCTCCACTAGTTCT